AACAAAAAAACAACACATAAGTAATCTGATAGAGAGTTAGAATGAAGTTTCTGTAAAAGCATTTACTTGCTATCTGATAATATCCTGGTAACTTCTTTAGGCATTTTAAATCAGGCAGGTCTGTAAGACCAGTCGGGATATTGTGGGTATTTTGCTAAACAGCATTTCTGATTCTTTTTATCTCCAGGTGGAATGTCCTGGCAGTACTGATTATCACTTCAAAAAGTGTCTCTTCTCTTGGTCTAGTATAATATCTCAGAAGCCCTCAATGTGGTAAAAAGAATTCTGAGAAATACAACTGAGAACTAGTGCTTTATTACTGGTTTGCCCTTTACTCTCTCTCAGCCAGCATAGTGGCTTTTCCTCTCTCATTTTTTCCCTTGTTCTGTCATAGTATGGATTTCCACACAACTCCACAAAGAAGCCTTTCAGTGTTTAGCTAAATGTTATTAATTAACCAAGTAACAGCCATTCAAGAGTGCAAATATTAACAAACAAATGGACAAACAAACTACATTATTCACCCTGGCTCAGAATTTCAGGTGATCTTTCTCCTGGAATAAGACATCAACTCTAGGTATAATAATACAATGACTAAACACCTCATTCTGACAAGAAAAGCATCTGGCTGATATTTGGATGTAATGTCCAGCTGCACAGAAGAAATGTGCTGATAGTTACAAACATGCAACTATGGTTTAAAATCAATGATGTTCAGAGCTGCTATTCCTGTTAAAGTGAACAAGCTTAGAATGCTATTAAACCATACTGAGCCAAACTCTAGTTAGTATTTGCCTTATTTTTAGTAGAATACATACTTCTTTTTGCTAGTTTTCTGATTTTATGTCTGTATACTTTGCTTAAACTTACTAATTTTTTACCCATAAACATGAAAGCTAGAAATCATGTGTGAATTTTATGCCTTTCAGCACCTGTGAATATTCAGTATTTTTTTTATCTTCAGAAAAAATGCAAAGCTGGTGTTGCAACTAACAAGCAGATGTTTTCAAATAAATAACACATACACAAGAATTTAGACTCATGTGAGGAATTCCCATAACAATTTAATTAGCCTTTCAGTGATTCAGAAATTAAAGATAACTGATCTTTTTCCATTGCATGAATATTCCCTGGTAGTATTTTGGCATATTTCAGTCCTCATTATTATGTCCAAAAACAATCCAAAAGGGAGAGATGGAATGAATAATTGAGTCATACTTTAATTCAATTAGGCCTCAGTTTTAAATTGATTTAGTCTGAGTCTTCAAACTCATTCCACTCTAGCAGTAGAAAGGTGTTGTGAAAAAGTTATTTCTACTAAATGGTAGGATGATAATAATATGAATCCCGTTCTGCAACATCCCATCCTTGCTGAGTAAAAGAAAGTACAGAACAGTCCAAGTGATGTGTCTTTGCCTCAAATTACATTGAGTTTAGTTTGAAATTTTTCAAAAGTTCCTAAGACAGATATTGTAACTCTTCTGCATGTCATCTGGTCCAAAATTCTGATCAAAGCAGAAGTATCTCTGAAGTTATTATCAGGTTGATTAAGGTAAAGCTTAAAGTATTTACCTTACCTGGAGAGGGTCCAGAGGAGGGCCACTAGGATGATCAGGGGACTGGAGCACCTCCCCTATGAGGACAGGCTGAGGGAGCTGGGCTTGTTCAGCCTGGAGAAAAGAAGGCTACAAGGTGACTTCATTGCAGCCTTTCAATACCTAAAGGGAGCCTACAAACAGGAGGGGAATCAACTATTTGAAAGGGTTGATATGTGTAGGACAAGGGGAAATGATTTCAAGTTGAGGGAGGGGAGATTTAGGTTGGACATCAGGGGGGAAATTCTTTACCCAGAAAGTGGTGAGGTACTGGAACAGGCTGCCCAGAGAGGTTGTGGATGCCCTGTCCTTGGAGGTGTTCAAGGCCAGGTTGGATGGGGCCCTGGGCAGCCTGGTTTAGCATTAAACGTGGAGGTTGGTGGCCCTGCATGTGGCAGGGGGGTTGGAGATTCATGATCCTTGAGGTCCCTTCCAACCTGGGCCATTCTGTGATTCTGTGATTCTGTGATATTTATACGGAAATAATTTCTTCATCAATGTTTGGTCACCCTTATTATGATATTTTTCCTTGCTATTCAGTCAGAATTTTTTTCTTTTGATAACTGAGGCTGTTGCTTCTTGTCTATTTTCTGTGCACTTCCAGGGAGAATCAGTCCTTTCTTTTCCCTCCTACTAGCTCAGCACTTCAATCAATTCTCCACTCAGTTAGTAATCTATCTGTTCAAACTGTATCTATTCAGTGTGTCTTCAAGGATAATAAAAGGATGAGTGGGTTGTATAAGAAGCTTGTCTGAAGTCTGAACAGACAACACTCACTTTTTTTTTTTTAATCGTAAAATCCAATCATGTTCTTCTGGCACAGACTACTCATGATAAATTCACAATGGTTTCTTTCAATCAAAATTTCTTTCCTTGAAATATTTGATTTCATATTCTAAATAACTAGTTCCATCATTCTCTAGTGTTTTAGGTTAAACAGGTGAACCTTTAATTTTCCAAAACTTCTTTCACCCCCTTCTTGAAAATAATGTATCCCTTTCTTATCACCAAACATCTTTCCAAATCAGCACAAACTCTTGTGATTGACAGGAATACATTTCATTCTCTTATTGTGTGCAAAACTTGTAAATCTCATGATTTAATTGATGCAGTAGGTCAGAATATTTAATGAAAACTCTTCTGTTGCTTCTAAATCTGTAAACCTAACTTCTTTCTCATGAAGATTTACAATCAACCAATGTGGGAGAAGAAGAGGTCAGTTTTACCTCTTTGAATATTGACTTGCTGATGATGAGGCTCTGAGAAAGAGTGAGAAGGTCTGAGTAACAGGATGTTTTGCCGCTGAGCATAAGATAGGGTCTCTGACATTATGAAGACTTGTTACGGAACTTGCTTGCTTTCTAGCCAATGGATTGTTAGTGGAAATGTACTGAATATACATGTTAGAGTATAAAAAGCTTGCTTAGGAAAATGAAGTAGAGAATCTTTCTTTCATGAGAACCCTGTGTCATGTTACTAACTTGTGACAAACCAGTATTCTGCTCTGTTTACATTTGTTATTAAAAGCAGAGGGCATCAGTGGGAGATATCTTTTAATTCTTAGTATTCTGATTTGCAGAGCAAAACAGTGCCTAAACCAAAGGAGGCTACTTTATGGGAAGTATATTGAAGCAATGGAAGATACAGCATACATCAAACTACCCAGAGAAGTCCAGAAATTTTTATAACTCATATTTATATGACAGATATAAAAACATCTCCAATCTTGAAAGGAAATCTATAATAGCACAGTGTTTCATTAAAAGTTTTAGATTCATGTGAAATAATCTGAAGTTCTGTCATATTCAGCAAAGTAGTGTACATTAATACACAGAAGCTGAAAAGCCGGAATAATAGGGTATTATCTCTCAGAGGCAAAAAGAATACTAGAGCCACTAGAGTCAGTGGCTCAATGTCCAACTGGAGACTGTTGCTGAGTGGAGTTCCTCAGCAATTGGTGCTGTTACCAGTGTTACTTACCGTATCTGTAGGCTACATGGACAGTGAGATCAAATGCGCCCTCAAAAAGTCTGAGGATGACACTTAGTTGAGTAGAGCAGTTGACATGTTAGAGGCAAGAGATGCTATCCAGAGAGACCTGGACAGGCTTGAGAGATGGGTCCATTCCAACCACATGAAGTTCAACAAGGACAAGTGCAAGGTTCTGTATCTGGGTCAGGGCAATGTCAAGCACAGATACAAGGTGAGCAGAGAATGGCTTGAGAGCAGATCTGAGGAGGATTTGGGGGTGGTGGATGATTAAAGACAATGTGAGTTAGAAATGTCTGCTTGGAGCTCAGATAACCAACCATATTCTGTATTACATCAAGAGAAGTGTGACAAGCCTGTTGAAGGAGGTGATTCTGCCCCTTTGCTCTCATGAGACCCTATCTGGTATATTGCATCCAGTTCTAGGACTCCAACACAAGAAGGGCATTGAACTGTTGGACCTCCTGTCCAGAGGAGGTCATTGAAGATAATCAGAGGGCTGGAGCACCTCCACTATGAGAATATCCTGAGAGAGTTGGAGTTCTTCAGCCTGGAGAATAGAAGGACACTTAACGCTACAGCAGCCTTCCGGTACCTGAAAGGGACCTACAGAAAAGCTGGGAAGGGACTTTTTATGAGGACATGTAGTGACAGGATGAGAGGAAATGGTTTTAAATGGAAGTAGGGGTAGGCC